GCAGTTTCGTTCTCTCCCGCTGAGAACCCTGGCATCCTTGTATCTTTTTGCTGCTGGAGAAATCCCGAAAGCCCACACTAGTTTGGGGCAACCACCAGAAGGAGTCTGGGCTGTAGTGGGGGGGGCTGTGTCAGGGTTCCTCCTCTGGGGGTATCAAATGATGAACCTTCCAGCATCTTATAGATAGCACTGGGTACCCGAGCGCCTGGTGGCTTTCCAAGCTGTCGGGTCGAAAAACCAGGAGGCAGCTCGGCTTTGCTGTTGCAGTATGTAGGTGCCGATTAGGAGATTCACGGAGAGGTTGGGTATAGAAAATTGTTCTTAGGCTTGCACCAAATTCCTGGGAGTGGCTTGTCCGTGAACCATGGCCATCGGTCTATGTCTCCCAGCTGAAAACACACATGTGTCACTGGAGCGCTGGTGAGTCAGTCTTGTGGGAAACAGGTCCACTCCAGAGGTCAGAGTGGTCGGTTTTCTCTGATGGAGGCACTTGGCTGGGGTACACGGGTTTGGTGGAGGCGCAGTGCTGACCAGGTTCTGTATCAATGACAATTGAGCAATCGTCGTCGGCTATGGGTGTTTACACCGCACCTGGACCCAGGGTTCTATGGCTTTTGAGGAGAATGTTCCCCTCGTCCATATACCATAGCAAAATCTGCTTTGGCCAGGCTTTTCAACTGCGGGACTCTTTCCCCCTATTTGTTATTGATGGATGTGTCGGTGCTAAAATACTGGTCCATTTTGGAGAATGGAAGTCGTTTGTTTTTGTCCTTTGGCAAAAACACTTCACTTCCAGGGAAGCCTTCTATGAGTCTACAGGGCAGTTGGGAATGTGAATTTTACTCTCCCATGAACTCTGTAGGACCGCCGTCGCACACCCAAACCCACCTTTTTTTAGATTCGAGGCAATCGAGTTTTGATTTTGAGGAGGTATGAACTATCGCAGGCTCCCACCCGTTCGCTTAGTGAAGTGGTCTCTCCACCATAGGAGTTCTTCTCTGGTCCCCCTCTGTCAACACTGTATTTGGTGGGTTGAGGAGTAAGCTCTGGTCCTCACTGCAGATACCTCGGCAGAAGGGCGAAGTATGGGTAGGGGAGGTTCCTGTAATAGAGTGAGCCATTGGAATGGCCTGACCGTGAACCGCAAATTCATCTTCCGGCGATCAAGTTACAGGAGAGGCTAGAGCTACCTGGCCTTACCTGGCACAACGACACCTATCAGTCGGCGACCATTTTGCAGGACTCCAGGTCAATCTGATACAAGGCCAGTTCAAACTAAGTTATGCCATGATAAATGAGTGGTGGGCAGTAATATAAGGGCTCAAATTTGTTTAGGGTGTTACTAAGAATGTAAACTCAACTTACTATAAGTCATTTTCACTGTGGCCCCTATTGTTTTGTGTCGCACCGCTCTTTTAGGTAACATTTCTAAAATTATAAATGCCAGCATGATCAGAATACCCTCAGAACCCACGGCCGTTAAAGCAGCCGGAAGAAGTTAGTACTCCCCCAGTACCGGTCACCACAAAAGGTGCACTTCTACGAATCACTATAAGCGGACAGACCCCCACAACAAAAGACGTAGGCAGTTTGTGTGGGCACTCATCATTACACGGCTCCTTTCTATCTCCCCTCCCGTTGCGCCTCTGTTTCGCCTATACTTACATGCCTACGCTCCTCCTAGTAATAGTCTGATCTAAACTTGTATTGTACGTTAATGTGGTACACAAGACACAGGCAATAGCATTATTGTGCCAGCTATGATTGTTAACAGACGTGGCACGTGGTGCACAGTCACCGAAATAGAACTGGTCCGGGTTAGCATTGGGTGCACAAAGGTCTCCACATAATGTATAAGTAGTTACTATTTAGCACCATGGCTTTGCGACAGGGTTTGTGTGATGGAAAATGTGCACACGCAAGTTAAAACGCCCCCTTTTGTAGTTAGCCCGCAGTCGGACCAGTCATCCCTTTGACTCATTGCTCTTAGTTACCATCTAAGAATTTTAATTTACTTTAATAGCTTACGTACAAAAAAAAGCCAACAAAAAGAATAGAAAAAGAGTATAAAGTAAAAAGAAAAAAAACAAAAAAACGCAAACCAAAAAAATAAAACACGAAAAAAGTAAAAAGAAAAACAACGCAGAGGCTAACGTACAAAAGAAAAAAACCAAGGAGAATCACCAACAAAACAAGAACCCAAAAGAAGCACGTCCCAGAAACCAACACAAAAAACACAAAAAAAACAAACACCCCCCAACCGGGAGACCACCAACCGCCCAGTACCACCCAAAAGAAATGTTACACCAAAAGCCAACACGTCCAAGCCCACCTCCGACCCCCGCGAACATCCACAACACAACAACCCCGCCAACACACACGACCAATCCCACCGACCCGCCCCACGGACACCCCCCCCCCCGACCACAGGGCAAACCACCACCCCCAGCCCACCCCGCCCCACCCCGCACCACCCCCCCGCCCCACCCCCCTTACCCCTTCCCCCCCCCCCGCCCCACGCCCCTTCCCTCCCTGCCCCCGAAGCCCACACCCTCATCGCCCCCCTCACCATCCCCTTCACACATACCCCCACCCCCCCCCCCTCCCCCCCCCCCCCTCCCCCCACCGCCCGCCGCTCCGCGACCCCCGCCTTCCCCTTCCCCCAACCAGAGACCCCGGCCCCCGCATCCGCGCGCCCCCCTTGCCCGACGCACAAACCCCCGCCCCCCCGGGCATTACCCTTCATCCCCCAGAAACCAGGCGGCGTTCCGCGACAACTGTTAGGGCGCCCCCTGGCCTCCCGCCCACCTTCCCAACGCAAGGGCTCCAAGAATCCCCTGCCGACCCACCCCCCCCCACGCCCCCTGCCCCCTCAGGGTCAAGCCGCCCGGAATTGTACACGCCCCCGGCCCTTTCCCCTCAGGATCTTTGCTTACAGCAGCACGACCAGAGCTGTTGACTAACTTTCCTTCTTTGTCCAGTATTATCAATGTAGGAATTCCTGCAAAAAACTTCAAGGCTAAACTAGAAACTTTTGTGAATATCTCTATTTAAGGATGACTTAACTAAGCCATATAATACTGCAAAAGCAAAACCAGACTTAGCTGGACGTAGTAAGACTTTGCAGAAATTTTCATGAAGCATATTCTGTCAATGTAAAATGTCCTGGAGCACTCCACTGTACACACTAGGGTTATCTGCTGACACAATACTCCCAAACCTGTGCGTCTATGTATGTATACACGTCTTGCACGTAAGAACTAAACAAGATGCATACACAGAAAAGCACCCACTAATTTATGCATGCTTGCTGCATGATCTCTAACTGACTTATATGGTTTACCGTCTGGCTCTAACGTGCTTATGGCAACGTTAGATTGGATACTCACCCCTCTATACCATGGTAGTGTACTAAATGGGCAAAACCAGGCCTTTTGTAATTAGCATATTGGCTCTTCTGCTTGTGTTTCACGCCGTAACTCTCCAACAAAGTATTTTTTACCTTAATATGTGTGTTCCTTTTTGACACGAATAATGGCTCGAAAAGTGATGTCAAACTAAGAACCGTACTCACTGCGTATGCGTGCCAAGTGTTAAGGATAGCTCAACAGAAAACCATACATTTCCCCTATATCCTTACCTTTTTTACAAAAACCATATGCCAAAGCACTACTTACAGCTTTTAAACAGTGAAAAAATATTATGTGGTACGGATTTGCCTGTAGAAATAATGTTGACAACATTCCTCTAAACTCAGGGCTTGTTTTGCTTTCCATGTCCTACTGAGTCTCAGAGTGCATGCTCAGCGAGGGTGTGTCCTTCTGTGTGTCGGCAGCTATTCTAGCTCTACATGCTAGAGAGTGGTCTATAGAGCTACTAGTGTGTGAAAAATAAAAAGGTTATTTTCCTGAAACCACTGTGTTTAAGAGATATGCCGCCAAAACAAGTGAAATATGCATAATCCCACTGGCTTTCCTCGACCTGATCAGCTTACTCTGTGTAACTTGAAGATACAAGAAGGCACAACAGAGGGCATGGAGTCCAACATGCTATATATCAGTAGCTAGCCCACGTCAGCTAGACTCCATGAGCTACTAACGGGAGACCACGAGTAAATGAACAAGCATAGCCCAGCCCATCAATCAGCTGTGAAGCGCATGCATAAAGGTTAAACGTTTCTAATTTGCTGAGGGTTTTGCACTTATATGAGTTGACGCATTGATGTACCATCTTCAGGTATTGAAAAGATACTTAATTAACATTGCACACGGTAAGTTTCACGTGTGAAGAGTAGAAATTGTAGTGCATAGAATTTTGTGTTCTTAACACAGCATATTAAGCACTGCAGTGCAAAACTTCATGCACTAGAACTGTCGACCCCCACCATACGTATGTGTGGTACCATGAATTGATTCGCTGGGCCATGCGTTATCGATTTACTGATTAACCATCGGCTCGCATGCACAGCGAGGGTTACGGTACTTGGTTAGTAAGTGAGTCTGTCCATCTGTGCGTCTGTCTGTCTGTTACCACGTTTTCTGCGGCTATGCACAACAAGACAACAAAACAGCGATAGTAACGGGTTCATCGCTTCATTTTTTTAAAAAGGCAATTTTCGTATAACTACTGCGTTCAAAAGTCGTGGCGTGAAAAGCAAGTGAACAAGCCAATATGCAAATTAGCATAGGCTTACCTCGACCGGGTCCGCTTGCTCTTTGCATCTTGAAGGCACAAGAAGTCACAACGAAGGGTGTGTATCGACTCTTGCACTCTATCTACTATTGTAGCTAGTCCATGTCAGACTGTCAGCGAGCTATAGCGGGAATAATAGGTGGTTACAAACTCCCTTAACAAAAATGCTAAAAGAGGTTGTTGTTCTGCAGCATTGTAACATTACATATATCCACAATCAAAAATTAGTCCGGTAAACCACCCTTACTCCCAAAAGAAGCTAATGAAATGAGCACTTGTGGCTTCGGTATGCATACGCAGCGAGGGAAGTGTTTGAGTATCGGTTGGGCATTCTATCTGTTTGTTCCACTTATAGCAGAAATATTGATGCCTTTGGTTGGGTTTGCACTGCCCCGTCGGTGTTGTGCCACGTTGTATTGTCCCGCGAGAATAGAAATAGTTTCCATCCTTGCAATGGCGTACGCCACAACAAGGCAAGGCAACTATAGACATTGAAGGTATGTAGGGCATCTTAGTAACGTACATATACTTGTATATATTCCTGCACTTACAATTCTTATTGCTACTTGCTGTTGCTTGCTAGACTAGTTTGTATGCACTTAATACACAGTTTGGGTGTAAAACTGCTTACCAGTGACATCAAATACTCTGGATAGGGATTTTTTCCTATTGTCACCAAAAGGCAGAGCAAGCCATGGCATAGTCGCATAGTATTCTTTGTAGGCATCCTCCTCTCTATCAGAGCTACAAAATATAATTTCAAACTTCTTTCCTGCATCTTTCACTTTCTGATATGTTCCCAGAAGCTGAGGGGTAAAGGCGCGACACGGGCCACACTGCATTAGAAGTAGAAATTTGTAATAAACTAGTGCTACTAACAGTTCTTATATCACATAAATCGTAATAGGAGAAGGGGGCAGGCTATGACATTGTTAATTTGGCTAATGGAAAAAACCTCTTGCAGAGACCCAAAATTCATATTTATTCTAACAGTACACTGAAATGGAGAAAACAACAATGCCATTCACAATTCATACATGTGTATTTTGTGTTCTAGGTCTCCTACTCCACCCCTCTAAACCATCTACCCTCCTCCCTCCTATCACCTACAATGGGCAAAAAACCCTGGTAGGTTGGTGTACAATAACTTTTGTACTTTCAATAATAATGCAACAACCTACCCAGTGAGCAGAGAAGTAGATTCCTACATATTCAATGTCCTTGTGGACTTCTTCCCATGTTGTATCTTTCTCTGGAGCTTTAAGCACACCACTTAACAATTCTAATACTGGTTTTGGAGTCCACGGAAAATCTTTACCATCTGGGTCATCCATTACTACACTGCGACCATCAGTAGTGATAAGAGCTCCATTTTCAGCATTAATAAAAACCAAAGTAGGAATCCCAGTCACTTTGAATCTTTTGGAAGCTTCGTTCTGTGAGTGTAAGAGGGGTCAATGTAACCTCTGCAGGGAATTTTCAGTGTTAGACAAGTGCAAGATGATATATGGTGCTAAATTACGTGCTAGAGTTAAGTAGCCGCATTGGTGCCTAACTTCCAAGCTCTCAAAACGAGACTTTACGTCGCCATTTATTTGCGTTTGTGCAGGGCATATGCATTTGTACGCTGCACCACCCACACACCACTGACAAGATATTCTAGCAAGCCAGGAGCATAGCTGTGTAGTCCGTTATAAACAGCCAGGAACGAGCGTTGTTTCAAGCAAAGAAACATGCATGGCCCTGCCCTCCGCTTCGCATGAGTGTGCAATGCATGTGAAAACTCTCAGGTAAAAGGCACAACAAAGAAATCAACAACACCTAGGACAGCTCTTTTTTCCAAGAAAAAAAGAAGAGCTGCCCTAGGTGGGATTCGAACCCACGACACTCTGCATGTCTCAACAACTTGGTAATGAGGTAGAAAGGCAAAGCAAGGCAAACAAGTCAACTACTAAGTGCCAAGGTTGCCGACAAGAGAGCCAAAATATGTTGCCAACCGTAACTTTTTAGTTGCATTTGTCACCATTACTTTTACACCTTGCGATTGTGAAATGTACAGCTTCTGGTACTATTACATACAGCCAACACAACTTTAAAAGGCTAAGGGCATAGCAATTCTGTGTAAAGCAGCACAATTGAGTTTTACATTTTCTTCCGCCATCAGTCAACAAAAGTTTTTAAAGCAAAGAGCAGGGCAGTTTAATGCAGCAATATCGCTTTGTAATGCACATTTTATCCTCTTTTTAGTTCCTGAGGAGTCAGCTAAACTAGGTGTGCGGACACGCATTGTCATATGAAATAATATTACTTGTACCACACATGTAACAAATTGATGCAACAAACAAGTCAATTAACATAATTATAACAAAACGCCTTCCCTGGGTGCGATTCGAACCTCTTTCTCAAGGCAAAGGCTAAGGCAAAGCAAACAAGTCAATAATACCCAGGACTTTTCAAGGAAAAGGAAGAGCTGCCCTGGGTGGGATTTGGACCCATGACACCAGGTAGAGTGGTCTTACCCACTAAACTACCAGGGCACAGCTAAGCTGACACAAGGCAAAACCAAGGGCAACTTTTTCTTCTTCACTTTGTTAAAGTACTGCTTTACTTCTTAAACTTCTAATGGTAGCACGCATGGAGCTTAGTACACATGTGTATCACATAATTCCCAAGACAGTTAAGTTATGATTACGTAAGCAATAAAGAGCAGGGGCTTGCCCCTCCTTTCCAACAAATATAGCTACGTAGTATAAAGACAAGTAATCCAAGTCCTGCAAATGGATCCCTCCTAGGGATTGTGTAAAAACATAGGGGAAGGATATAGGTTTGGGAACAGATTGGGAGAACAATCCCTATACTGTTGCCTAGGTGAAGTGTGAGACATTCACCATTATGCATTTCAGCAGGAACTATAATGGTGTTGTACCATTGTGGGAAAGTGCCATTCTATGGTGCAACCTCCAGCATGTTGAGGTGCACTAGGAAACAATATTATACGGATTGTGTGATGGGCTCAGAGGTATCATGGTGCTCCCAATCTTTTCGCAAACCATGCTTTGTACATCCCATCCCTATCTTATCTCCTACAATCCCCAGATTTTTTTTATATATTGTGCACTCAAATAGAGGCATAACCTTTACATTAGATACGTTTAGAGCACAGTATTGGGACTACCTCTTTCAGCCACGACAGTAAGTGATACACATACATCAACTCACTGAGCTATCTACCTTCAATTCCCGATCTTCATAAGGCACTGCATACCAGGGCATGAGTTGAAAGTATTCGTTAAATTGGGCTTCATCTCGATCAGAGCTAAGAAAAACAATGTCGAACTTTTCTCCGTTGCTGCTCTTCTTTACCTTACTATACCACTGAGCTAGTTGTGGAGTAAAGGCCCGGCAAGGAGGACACCAGTGAGCTGAGAAATAAAGTCCCAGGACCCTTCCACTTCCTGCGAAGCATGACGTTTGAGTTTTGCAAAACTCCTTTTTATCGGGGTTATACGAGATTACTTTCCCTCCAACAAGTTTCGACACGGCGGACATAGCCGCATCGGACGACAGGCCGAGTAGCAACGAGAAATATCAATGGGTGGGCGTTGTCCCTATCTAGCTAGGGCTGTAATTATAACCCAGACCCCGCCCTCTCTCCAGGAAATGGTTGAGCGGCGTGCATGTATACGGAGCTCCGTTCTACTGTACGTGACGTTGCGAAATGACGCAGTCGCTCTTCTCCAGTTTACGTCCCTTAACACCGCAGAAGAAGATGGTCGTTTCACTTTTTGCAGTGCCTTGAGAGCCACTGATGTTAGCCGTTCAGACTGTAAAAGAGTGCATGTTAGTGCTATAGCTGCCAGCCTAATACAGTGGTTATTTACTCTTGGACCAGCAACAACTGCCAATAACACTGCTCGGTCTGTAACAGGACCACAAAGATCGGTGAACTCCCCATCCCACTCCTCACGTTTGACTTGGAAAATGAGTTCTTCCTCCCCCTTCAAAACGTCAGAGTGGACCTCCCTCACTGCAACGCCAAGCACCTGGAGTTTCTCTTGATACCACGAGCCTCGATAAGTGAAAGAAACTTCCCTTTTCCTTTCCCCAAAACACACCAAAACAGATCTTAACACAGATACACTATTGCTATCCTCACAGGTCCTGTATGAGTTTGTGTTCTGCAACAGTGAGATTTGTTCACCATTTGGAATATACACCTGTCATCCTCGAGCATTGGTTGATCCAGAGAGAGCCGTTACTGGGCTGGAAATAATGCTTATTGTTGAGGAGGGAGAAGATCTGATTCATCCGTTTACTCTTGTTGACCAGGTATTGTTTGTACCCAGTGTTGTCTAAGAATATTATAGCTTTTGTGTGCCGTGGGAGGCCCTCTCTCAAAATTAGTACATATTTAGCCATTGTAGTGTATGATGATATTAATTTTTTTTGCATGTAGGGTGTTGGCAGAAAGCCTCTGATGTACTGAAAAATGGTCAGCCAATAACAATCCTCAATGTGCCAAATTTTATGCCACCATGTGCAAGCTAGTGACTAATTAACCCCCCGCGCACATGCGCAGCGAGGGTTACAGTACTTGGTTTGTAAGTGTGGGTGTGTGTGTGTCTGTCAGTCTGTCTGTTATTACATTTTCAGCAAACGACAAAAAAACAGCGATACCAACGGGTATATCGCTACTCTAGCTTGATTTGGTTTTCATCTCACTATGAAGACTGGCAATGACTGACTTATACTTTCATTTTTTTCCTATTAGCTTCTCAGACCAGAGATGCATTTATTCAGTCTATGTCCTTTCATCGTGGTGGTCCACATGCAGTACGCAGAAGTGAATTGTTGGATGGTGTTATTACCCTCTATCAAGAAAATCAGGCAAAAGTATTTAAAGAATATCCTTTTCGGATGAAGTTTGTGTCAAAGAAAGCTATCGATGCTGGGGGAGTTTCTCGCGATATGTTCTCAGCATTCTTTGAAGAAATGTATAAGGTGTATTTTGACGGAGCAAACCTGCTCAGTCCAATTGTTCACCCAGGAATGGATGTTTCCGTCATATCCATCATCGGAGCAATAATTTCGCATGCTTATATTGTTACGGGAATTCTCCCAATTCGAATAGCCTTTCCTACCTTGGCCCGTTTTTTGTTTGGTCCAAGCATTACAGTTTCATCTGAGGTCCTTGTTGATACATTCATTGATAGCCTTAGTCTCTATGAGGCTAGTATTATGAAGTGAGCAAGTGCAGAAGCCAAAGAAAAGCAACCATCATTTTCGAGTGATTTGATGCCTCTTGTTATATCAGTATTTAGTCGCTTTGGAGTGAGGCAGCTGCCGACTCCACTTAAGTTTCAACACACACTCAGCCAAGTTGCCACCTATGAGTTTTTCTCTAAGCCATCCGCTACCCTCTCGCTCTTACATTCGGGTATACCAGAACAGCATCGACCTTTCTGGAGGGAGTTGAGTGTTGATGATCTGTTCACAATCTACTGTGCTCAGACAGTTTCTGTGGAAACTGTCCTTGGAATGCTTGAGAATGCTGTTGGTACAAATGGCAATGAAGAACGCATTTTATGCTATGTTCGTCTGTATGTTGGCAGCATGAACTCTGACACACGTTGTAGTTTCCTAAGATTTGTTACAGGCAGTACAGTCTGCTCATCACCCACAATTGAAATTTCGTTCAATAGCTTGTCCGGGTCTGCCCCAAGACCAATAGCTCATACATGTGCACCATCTTTGGAACTTTCATGGACCTACAACATGTACCTAGAATTAATGAAGAGCATAAAGATGAACATCATCATCGGGATCCAGATGATTTTGGTGCTCAAGAAAATAAAAGAGACGATAGTAGAGCACAGTAACACATCGATGCATGTCACGCCAAAAACGTTAATGCGCTGGTTGTGTATTGAACTTCCAGTTATCATACTATTTCGCTGAGTCCCCCTGTGCTCCAACATATGAACAGCAACGAGGTAATTCTCCCGACCGTGATCTGAACGTACTCTTGATGGTAGCGAATACTGACGAATGGCTAAAAGAAAGAGGTCGTAAACTGTGCTAGCTCGATTATTTCCAGAACACTGTAAGTAGACAACAAGTCTACTGTACCCATCAATCCCACCATGGGTAACTAAGCCTCATCGCACTAATTTGTGGTGGCCATCTGCAAAAAAATAATAATAAACATCAGCAATGTTAGTGTAAGTGCCACCATGCAATAGTGCAACAATAGCACATATGTTGCGTGTGTTGTGCAGCATTGATAAGCAAAACACACATGCACATAAACCACTGCTAACAGGCCACTCGGATAGGGAGTTTAGTTCATCTTCTTCTCCTTCTTCAGATTGAACTCGCGTAACTCAAAAACAAAATAACATACAGTAATGAAATTTTGTAAGAATGTAGATATCCATCACCCGAAGAGACTGGTCATACTTATTTCTTTGTAAACAACAACAAATAGCCCCAGGCAATACATTATAATGGAATCACATGTGTCAGTATAACTCACAAATGGTAAGAGTAATGGAACGAAACTTTGTAGACATAATGTATTCAATCACCAACACCAAAATTACAACAATACATGTTTGTAAACAACAACAAATAGCCTCAGGCACTTTTCTTTAAATTTAGTTCTTCACTCCTCAAACTCTCCAATGGTAGCACAAAGAGATGAAACTTGGTAAGTATGCCTATTACATCATTTCCATGACGATTACGTTTCTATGACGACCGCATTTTGTTTGAAAATGCCTCAGTCCATTTTCTATAAAACCATTTCTTCATTCCTCAAACTTGCTAATTGTAGCACGCATGGAGGAGAAACTTGGTGCGCTTGTGTATTACATCGTACTTCTTCAGTCCTCAAACTTGCTAACGGCAGCACACATGGAGATGAAACAATCATTTCCATGACGACCACAGGCCTTTATTCTCTATTATTAATTTTATAGGGCTTTCCCCCTTCCACAGAGATAATACGTAGTAGAGTATAATATAAAAATGAGTGGAGACAAGTAAATTAAAAATCCTGCGAATTTAAAAAAGAGGCATATAGGGATGGTATAAAAAGAAAGGGAGACAAGATAGGGATGGGATACATGAAGCATGGATAATGAATGATTTGAGTACGCTGACACCCCCAACCCCATCACACAATCCTTATATTGTTGCCTAGGTGAAGTATTAAACATTCACCTTTACAATACTCAGAACTTACAATACACTACTGAGTAACTTACACCCTTAGAGTCCAAGTGGAATTAAATTAAAGGGAATGTGGCAGTATTAATGTTACTAAAAACAACAGGGAGATGGTGAAGGAATGCTTGCTTTTAGTAACCTTTAGCCCCTATAAGAGTAGCACACCAGGCAACAATACAGGGATTGTGTGATGGGGTTGGGGGTGTCAGCGTACTCAAATCGTTCATTAACTATCCCATCCCTATCTTGTCTCCCTTTCTTTTTATACCTTCCCTATTTTAATTTCGCAGGATTTTTTATTTACTTGTATACTAAGTACATAGATGTATGGGGTATGATTGGGAGTTTTGTTCATCTTCTTCTCCTCCTTCTTCTTCTTCTTCAGATTCAACACCCATAACTAAAAAACAAAACAACATTATAGTAATGAAATTTTGTAAGAATGTAGATATCCGTCACCCGAAGAGACTGGTCATACTTATTTGTTTGTAAACAACAACAAATATCCCAAGGCAATACATTATAATCACATGTGTCAGTGTAACTCACAATTGGTAAGAGCTATGTGAACGAAAGTGTACACATAATGTATTCAATCATCAACATTAAAATCACAACAATACATGTTTGTAAACGACACTTTTCTTTAAATTTGCTTCTTCACTCCTCAAACTTTCCAAAGGTAGCACGCATAGAGATGAAACATGGTATGTATGCCTATTATAATTATCATTTCCATGACGATTACATGTTTCCATGACGACCGCATATTGTTAGAAAAAGCCTCAGACAAATTTCTTCAAAACTACTTCTTCACTCCTCAAACTTGCTAACTGTAGCACGCATGGAGGTGAAACTTGGTGCGCACGTTTATTACATCGTTTTCAAGACGACCACAACAACAAATAGCCTCAGACACTTTTCTTTAAAATTACCTACTTCATTCCTCAAACTTGCTAACCGTAGCACGCATGGAGGTGAAACTTGCGTTTTACATCGTTTCCATGACAACCACAACAACAAAAGTCTCACGAACTTTTTCTTTATAATTACTTCTTCACTCCTCAAACTCGTTAACGGTACCACACATGGAGATGAACTTGGTATGCATGCGTGGAACATCATTTCCATGACAACCACTCTGTTTGAACAACAACATAGCCTCAGGCAATTTTCTTAAAAATTACTTCTTCAGTTCTCAAACTCACTAAAGGTAGCACGCATGGAGATGAAACTTGGTACACATGTGTATTACATTATTTCCCTGACAATTACATGTTTCTATGATGACTACATATTGTTCAAATAGCTTCAGACACTTCTCCTCAAACTTACTAACGGTAGCACTCATGGAGATGAAACTTGGTCACAATGCGTATGACATCCTTTTCATGACAGCCACATTATTATTTGAACAACAACAAATAGCCTCAGCCATTTACTTCTTCACTCCTCAAACTTGCTAACGGCAGCACACATGGAGATGAAATTTAGTACGCATGTGTATTACATCATTTCCATGACGACAACAGCCTTTCTATTATTATTTTTTTAGGGGGCTTGCCCCCTTTCACAGAGATATACATAGTATATAGTATATAAAAATGAGTGGAGACAAGTAAATTAAAAATCCTGCGAATTAAAAAAAAAGGCATATAGGGATGGTCTAAAAAGAAAGGGAGACAAGATAGGGATGGGATACATGAAGCATGGTTAATGAACAGATTTGAGCACGCTGACACCCATCACACAATCCCTATATTGTTGCCTAGGTGAAGTATTAAACATTCAACATTACACAATACTCTAGCTTGAAGATACGAAAAAGTCATGCTACTAACTGAGTAACCAAGAGTACAAATGGAGTGGCACACCAGGCAACAATATAGGGATTGTGTGATGGGGTTGGGGTGTCAGAGTGCTCATATCTGTTCATTAACCATGCTTCATGTATCCCATCCCTATCTTGTCTCCCTTTCTTTTTATACCATCCCTATATGCCTCTTTTTTTAAATTCGCAGGATTTTTAATTTACTTGTATTATAGGGATGGGCATGTGTATTACTGATGACCACAACAACAAATAGCCTCAGGCTATTTTCTTTAAAATTACTTTTTCACTCCTCCAACTTACTAACGGTACCACGCATGGAGATGAAAAAAGTAGCACACATAGAGATGAAACTTGGTATGCATGCGTATTACATCATTTCCATGGCAACTACATGTTTCTGTGACGACTACAAATAGCCTCAGGCACTTCTCCTCAAACTTGCTAATGGTAGCACGCATGGAGATGAAACTTGGTATGCAGGCATGTTACATCATTTCCATGACAACCACATATTGTTCGAACAACATCAAATAGGGAACTCAGGAACTCTTAACTCCTCAAACTTGCTAACGGTAGCACTCATGAAGATGAAACCTTGTACGAATGTGTATGACATTGTTTCCATGACAACCACATATTATTTGAACAACAACAAATAGGCTCAGGCATTTACTTCTTCACTCCTCAAACTTACTAACAGCAGCACACTTGGTACGCATGCGTATTACATCATTTCCATGACGACCACAGGCATTTATCTCTATTATAAATTTTTTATAGGGGGTTCGTCCCCTTTCACAGAGATATACGTAGTAGTATATAAAAATGAGTGGAGACAAGTAATTTAAAAATCCTGTGAATTTAAAAAAGAGAGGCATAATAGGGATGGTATAAAAAGAAAGGGAGACAAGATAGGGATGGGATACATGAAGCATGGTTAATGAGTAAGCTTACACCCCCAACCCCATCACACAGTCCCTATATTGTTGCCTAGGTGAAGTATTAAACATTCACCATTACAGTACTCAGAACTTATAATACAAAAAGGTGAGTAGCCAACACCGTTATAGAATCCAAGTGGAGTTTATTAAATGGAATGTGGCAGTAAAAACAACAAGGGCACGGTGAAAGAATGCTTGCTATTAGTAACCTTTATCCCCTATAAGAGTAGCACACCATGCAACAATATAGGGATTGTGTGATGGGGTTGGGGGTGTCAGGGTACTCAAATCTGTTCATTAACCATGCTTCATGTATCCCATCCCTATCTAAATTCAGTATACATCTGAAACGGCGAACGAGTGCTGCTTTCTTGCTGGGAAGTCGAGCGAGAGGCCCAGGGAGGACGTCGACAACGGGCTCGTATATTATACCTTCGCAGACTGCTGACTCCACCCATGACGACCACAACAACAAATAGCCTCAGGTACTTTTCTTTTAAAATTACTTCTTCACTCCTCAAACTCGCTAACGGTACCACGCATGGAGATGAAACTTGGTACGCATGTGTGTAACATCGTTTCCATGACAACCACAACAACAAATAGCCTCAGGCACTTTTCTTTAAAAATACTTCTTCACTCCTCAAACTTGCTAACTGTAGCACGCACGGAGGTTAAACAAGTATGTATGTCTATTATATCATTTCCATGACGATTACATGTTTCCATGACAACCGTTGAAAAAACTTCAGGCAATTTTCCTAAAGAAACTTGGTACACATGGATATTACATTATTTCCATGACCACAACAGGCACTTTTTTCTATTATTAATTTTTATAGGGGGCTTGCCCCTTTCACATAGATATACATGGTAGTGGAGACAAGTAAATAAAAAATCCTGCGAATTTAAAAAAGAAGCATATGGTGATGGTATAAAAAGAAAGGGAGACAAGATAGGGATGGGATACATGAAGCATTGTTAATGAACAGATATGAGCACTCTGACACCCCAAACCCCATCACACAATCCCTATATTGTTGCTAAGGTGAAGTATTAAACATTCACTATTACAACACTCAGCACTTACAATTCAAAAAAGTCATGCTACTGAGTAACCAACACCCTTATAGAGTCCAAGTGGAGTTTAATTTATGAAACAGACTGTGGCAGTATTATACGAAGTAGAAATGTTACAGAATGCTTGCTTTTATATAGTAACCTTTAGCCCTTATATAATGCAAGTAGCACACCAGGCAACAATAATTATAGGGATTGTGTAATGGGGATTGGGGTGTCAGCGTGCTCAAATATGTTCATTAACCATGCTTCATGTATCCCATCCCTATCTTGTCTCCCTTTCTTTTTATACCATCCCTATATGCCTCTTTTTTAAATTCGCAGGATTTTTAATTTACTTGTATACTAAGTACTACCGTACTTAGTGATAAAGCGTGCTAACTAGGTAGAGCAAATACCCAGACTTTGTACACACATGCAACCCATCATTAAGATCAAAATAAACAACCTCAGGTAATTAAATTGTGTTTGTGCCTCTAACTTGCTTATGGTTGGTCCTCTAACAATGGAACTTGGTACACATATGTAACCCATCATTAGTATCAAAATGTAAACATTACAAGTTTGTAAACAACCACAAACAGCCTCAGCCAATAAAAACTTGCAAATGATGTTTGTGCTTATAACTTGCTTATGGTGGGTCCTCTAACAAATGAAATTTGGTACAATGATTAACCATGATAAGAGTTCATCAATACATACATTACAAGTTGGTAAACAACAACAAACACCCTCAGGCAATAAAATTCGTAAATGGCGTTTGTGCCTATAAACTACTTGTGGTTGGTCATCTAACAATGAAACTTGGTACACTGATTCACCATCATAAAGATTTCATTGAAACTCAAATTTAAAGGTTGTAAACAACAACAAACAGCCTCAGGCAAAAAAGACTTAAATGGTGTCAGTGCCTATAACTTGCTTATGATGGGTCCTCTCACAATGAAACGTGAATGACGACAAAATGTCTGAGGTGATAGCTTAATGTTACTTTTTATGGGCTTATTGCCCACAACACAAAATATATATATACAAAAAATATTCACAAAATAATT